TCACTTTCAGAATATAGAACATCTTGATTACCATTTGAACTAGAAATAAATTCTAATAATATTTTTATATTATAAATCTTAGGTAACCGAAATAGAGACTTAATACTATAATAATTATTAGAGATATAGGAGTAATATCAATAGTAATCCATGTATTATAAGTAGTTTGATATATTTTTATGCTACATACAACACGTATTATCATAACAACTGTAAACTGTTAACTATTATAAAGACTTAAACAATTTTTACAAACTGTTACAGACTTAAGCAAACTGAAACAAACTTGAAATAAACTAACAGATTGTTACAGACTTAAGCATACTGAAACAAACTTGAAATAAACTAACAGACTGTTACAGACTTAAGCAAACTATATGAAAATAGAGAATACTTACAGTACACACAAACAATAATTGCAGAAATCCTTCCACTCTGGTGGATCGTAACTTGGTAATACAGAGTGCTTACAATCACACATAGATAATGGTTTTTACAAAGGGAAAAAGAGGAAAGAAGAAAGAGGAAAGTCAGGGTTCTTCAATGGAATGCTCTGCGGATCAGGAAAAATGTTCGCTTCCGCCCCGCCTTCGATTGGAATGGTTCCCTCTATTTATAGAAAGAGAAAAGCCTTGGTGGATGCCACCTGGTTCATGAAGGAATCTTTCTTTATTGAGAAAGGATGGCTTGATGGGATGTTGGAAGCTGGATGGATGCCAAGTAGTTGATCTTTATTTGGGAATCTTCCTGTAGAGGCTTGATGAAACGGGCGACTTTTGTCTTTTAGCACAGATGGTATTTTGTTGATGCTTGATGAGATGGCTAAGACAGGTGGTCTTGATGTTGTCGGTGGTGTTTTACAGGTGGCATCTGTCGTTTAGTTTTAGTGGGTACAAGTGGTGGCTGTCTCATCAGGTAGTGGCTGTCACATTTGTTGCATCAGTTATCTTTTAGTCCCGTCTGTTTTTGCTTTTAGTTGCTTTTGTCACTTCTTCCTTTGTCTGCCTTGCTTTAGTCATATCTATATTGCTTTTCTTGCCTTATATCACTTTTGCTTGTTTTTTATCATATCACAAATACTATTGAAGGTATGTACATCTGGTTTGATAGGTTAATACAGGGTATGTTTCTAGGACATTCTATGTTCTGATGGGTCTGGTGTGTCAGGTGGTACTTCTATTTCGGGAGTGCTAGGTGTGCCGGATGCATCATGAATTTGGGCAGTTTCTGCCTCTTCTTCAAATATTTTCATTAATTGTTTTCTAGCTCCTCCTTGGTGGCTCTAGGATTTTGCTTTTTCATTATGGTAATATATTCTGCCAAACTATTTGGGTTGGAGTATGAATGAGAGCCATATGCTAATGGGATTTGTTTGAGCTGTAAATTATCTAGTTCAATATTATGGTAGATAAAGACGTCCTACCATTTTATGGCAATCTGTTTGCCTAAACATGGCATATATTCAAAATTATTTGTATTATTTGGGGATATCACAAAGTTCCACTTAACGATCTATGGTACTTGATACATAGCAATAAAATATAAGTGGTAATCTATATTGGAATCACTCCCATTGAATTCAATAAAACAGTTTTGAGAGAGTTGCAGGGGTTCACGAAGTATTTGGGTTAAAGATCCCCATGTTGCAAACCAGTTACGAAACCAGTTTGGAAATGAAGTGTTTACAGGCATTTTAAACTGTAAGAACCAAGTGTGAGAATTATATAGGTTTTGAAGTGTTAATATCTTATGCCAAGCATCAATGTAATCAGCATGTCTGTAATATTTATTTGAGAAATCTGGGGAATATATGTCTCTTGGCTTTGGAAGGGTCTGATCC